TGCCACTCTGACAAGTGGTCATCTGATACTGGCCATGTGACACGTGGCTAGCAAGCTAGCCAACTAGAACAACTGGGTTCCCTATATTTCCCCTTAAGCTCACTAATTACCCTCGCCTAAGGGCCAAGCTGGGGGTTAAAACCACCTTTCACGGGTTGAGGCCCTGGACTGCTGGAATGGGACCAAGGAAAATCCATAGAATCATAGAAGTTGTCCTTTTGGAAAAATAGATGGCCCTGGTAAATGGAATAAAACCCATCTAAACCAGTGTTTTCTATTTTTAACCACGCTAACCTAAAAAGAACGCCTATGCTTAGAATACAAATGGCAACGGGAACCTTGGATTTATCAACCCCTCTTGACTTTGCAGTGGGAGGGAGGGGGGGTCATCACTCGAGGGGAACAACCCCGATTTATGGGAGGGGTTCATACCCACAAAAAAACACCTGGGAAAGTGTAGGGAGCCCTGCGGACATAAGCGTTTCTTCAAACAGCCCGCTGTTCGCTGACGGTGATGCTTAGGCGTGGGCAAAAGGAGGGTTTTCAGTTTCTATGTCAAATTGTACTTTGAATTAAACATACTTTCTATTCTAATTGTATCCAACACCATTTGGTGTATGTTTTTGATGGCACAATCTTTCTTGTTGCTTAATATTGTTGGTTGTGTATTCTATAGTTTCATGTTTGTTGCCATCTTTTGTTTGCTCCACTTTCTCAAAAAAAAAAAAAAAAAAACAAAGCCTAGGGAGCTTGAAAAGCAGTGGCTGGCAATCTGGCTGGCAGAAACGCAAACTAACCAGCCGCAACCTGTTCGGAAGTCTTGAGAACTGAGCTTTGGCTGGCGCTTGATGTCAGGTATTCTGCTTCCCGCGCCTCACAACGTGGAAAACTCGGGCTTCCCCTTTTCTGAGATGACGGTAGCTTGCCCCCCGTGTTGACATCCCAGCAAAACCGTCCCGTGTTCTTCTGAGAAGAACCGTCCTCTAAACTTCTTCCTCACTCCCTGACTCGCCATGTTGACCTGGCTGGGTGGTCTCAAAATCGGGGATGCTCCCAAAATGCCTGATGTCCTTTGACAGATTCCCACCCAAAGCCACCCCAAAGCGGGAAAATAAATGGTTTCCTGTTAAAGAATTAAAGATTCCCCACCCAACACCACCCCAAAAGCGGGCACCCGGGCACCATCCAAAAAAACGACGAGAGCCCCGAACCCCTTGTCTCGCCTCCTGCAGGCAGAACCGGAAGACCTCCCTGGCGAGGATCACCTCCTTCCGCGTCAGCATGCCTCAGCCAGCCGCGACCGGGTTTTCGCGCGAAAAAAAGAAAAACCGGGGGTATGGACACATGACACCACAAGGAGTGGTGTCAAAGGACATATACGGAGACAGACATAATGACCACCACAAGGAGTTGATGTTTGCAACTTTCTTGGGTTCTTCAGGTCTTCTTTCTTTGGTTCTTTGGGGGGGGGGAGGGGGAATTTGACTCTAAGTATGCATGGCACCCCCCTCCCAGAGGTATCGACCGCGCATCCGAAACGGAGGAAAAAGAACGCAAGTGTAGTGAAAACGGACCCCATTGTTTAGGCAGTCCTCTTCAAAAGGCTGCTGTCAGCCATGATTTTTTTTTGAGGGAGAGGCGTCGTTGCCAGTTGGGTTGGCAGTCTTGGAACAGGTCCAAGAGTTCGGCAGCTGAGGGAGCATACCACGTCTCAAGTCAAAAACACTAGGGACGTTCAAACCAGTGGCCCGTTGGATCAAGAATGCCAGAGGGCCGTGCTTATCAAAGGGTGGCAGGAAATTCTTTCAGGCGGTTTCCTCTGACAGGCCCCCAGCTCCTCTGTTAGCAGGAGATCCTTCCGGGCGGTTTCCTCTGACAGCCCTCCATGGGCCACCAATTGGCTGGCAGGAGTGATCGTTTAATGGGTTACCCTAGTGATCATGGATGCGCCCGTTTACCCCCACGGCCCCAGGGGCCGTTCGGAAGGGTACGGATTTCAGCTCGGGTTTTGTGGGAGACAACGTCAATTTTGGCCAACTAGTGCCCTTTGTGTGCTTGCCGGAATGCTGCCACATTGGGCGGCAGTCACGCGTAAAAAAAGAAAACTGTGGTCGGGCGGGGGGGGGGGACCTGGGTCGAGAAAACTCGCAGTCTCACCCCACATTTGGGGTATCCAGCTTGCCCACCGCGACGAAATGTTCCCCGGAAAACTGGACATCCCAGGCGCTGGCATCATGGGCCACCGTGCTCTCCATGGGAAGGGGCACAGGCCCCTTGTGCGAGAGGTAGAACCTCTTCTCCTCCTCCAGGAAAGCCTGGCATCATCTTGGCTTGGGTTCCTGTGGTTCCCTTGTGATATACCCACAACCAGGGGGCCAAAGCCCGGTCCCCACTCAAACCTGAGGATTCCCACAAACAAAAAACAAACAAAAACGGGAGCAATGACTCAAACATAGACCGAGACTGGCAAAAACAGGAAGAAGGCCAACAAAGACAAGTGTTGCCTCTAATTGCTTAAGTTCTCTGGAAAAAATGCAAATCTCTCCAGTAGTGAAATCGATTCCCTCTAAGACCAACAGGGAAAAAAGTATTCTTAACCAAATGGAAGGTTGGGCCACTGACTCGATGGAAAGGTTGGAAAGGTCTGCCAGGCTTCCTTAGATGCGAAGGACCGCGCCGCAGGAAATGGCATCCCTTTGCAAGATCAGGGTGTTTTTTCCCAGTAACCATCTAGAAAAAGCAGGGGCTCAAAGCCCCAAACCACCAGTCCAAACAAAACCAATTGATCTAGAATGGCATTCCCCATTCTTTTCAACCATCGCTCTTTTCAAAAACTCGTTGTTTCCGACCTGGGTGGTTGATAGCTTCCTGAGAAACAAAATAACACCTTTCCAAACATGTGTGGTCCAACGCATGTTTGCCCCTGACAAGGCCTCCGGGTCCTCATCCAGCGGCTGCAGCTTGGGGCAGAAGCGCTCAATGGACAGCGCGTAGGGAAGCGCCAGAGGGTCCTGGTACTCTCCTTAGGCTCGGGGCAAAACTCCCCAGCAAAACGCACAGAATCCAAACCTCGGTGGATGTTTCATGGGCCGAGCTGTGGATTTCCCAAGGAAACCATGCAATGCATGGGCACTCCTTTTGTTGGGCCGGGTGTTTTACAGGGGCACCCCCTCTAAAAAAGGAGACACATCCCCCATACTTAACCCCTGGGGTTCCCAAGTCCTCTTGGACAAATCCCCCGAAACGCGGAAAAAACCCGGAGGTCCATGGGAAACAAGTCCATCGGCACTCTTGCTCTTGGGGGCTTTAAAGGGCCCCCCGCTGCAACAACAACCAGGCCATGGGGCACTTGAGGCAAATGCCACCCGGAGATATCCGGAGCTGAAAATCCACACGACACGGGAAAAAGCCGTTGTCTCACGCTCGCTTTCCTAAGCAGCCCCCAACCATCTGAGCGGCGGAAGCACCAGCCGATCAGCGTCTCGAATGGTAAGACCTGGCGTCTAGGCTTGCTGCTGGTGCGGTTCAGGCTCACCTTATCCAGCTGGTGGGAACCTTGGGACGAGTACTGGAACAGCGCTTGGGCACGATACTCTTCAAAATAGTCCCTCCGTACTTGAAACAGGAAAATGCATCTAAACCAGCGCCATCTAGTTTTAATCAGACTAATATAAAACGGACACCTATGCGCATTGGTTTCATACCTTTTAGCGAATTCGAATCAAGTACACGAAAACGCTCTTGGAAGACTGCGCGTTGGGAAGGGAAGCCAGTTCCATATAGTTCCATGTGTGTTGCCCGTTTTGCCAGGGCATCAATCATAAACTACACAAACTCAACCACCAAGGCAATCCACAGCTAGAGGATCAAATGTTGGGGAGGGGGCCAATTATGCTGATCAGCCACATGGGTCTGTTGTTTTGTGAGGTCACCTCTTTTTCTGGTGTCAAAGGGCACCCAAAACGAACTCTCGGGACCGGTTGCACCTGGATAGAAGCCCGATCCATGTCTCTGGCAGCCTCTTTGTCCCCTTCGGCTTCCTTGCAAAATAGCTCCCCAAATCCCAAGAAGGATGCCCTTCCGGATTTACCGTAACTTATGGGCGTACCCCGGGCACCGGAAATAGCCCCACCCCAATAGCCCCCCTTGGCCCATGAGATTCCATGAGTTGGAAGGCTGCGTTCTTTCAAGTCAATCCTTCTGATGGAAACATCACCGGTTCGGGGGGCCGGCGCTTGAACTTGGGATGCCGTGTTCCTGTGTTGGATTAAACCGCAATTTGATTGCAGGGTGGGGCAAAATATGGTTTAAACACCACCTTCACAAGAAATCATCATCATAACCAATGTTTTAAACGTGTTTAAGCCAATGGGTAGCCCCACCCTAGAGATGGTAGTGGTGTCCCTTGTTGCTTCCCACTGCGGGTTCGACTGTCCCATATATTCGGGGATGAAACCGAGCTTGGGCCGGTACTTACTTGGGGGTTTCGTCTTGAACAGTTGCCCAAATCACTATAATTACTTGTCTTCATCCCATAGCCCTCATGTCATAGGGTTGTTCCCTTTGATTTCCCTTTCAGACCCAACTCCGCCCCCTTAAAAAACAAACAACAAAGAACTCCTGCTAGCTCCCTCATGCTCCCTCTAAAAAGCAAAATTCAGATACCGGGTCCCAGTCCCAGTTCCTTGTCCAACTCCCTTCCAACCACGTTTCTCCCAAAACCTATCATTCTCCCTTCCAACCAGATAGAGTGCCCCCTATATGGAAGCCACAAGACATGAAACCACCCCATCCTGAAAACAGTCCGCCACCTTTCCCGTGAAGCTCACTTGCTGAGTGGATAATTAGCCCAAAAAAAGGTCCAAACTTGAATTTTACCACCAAACGGTCCAAACAAAAGAACTGTTCAAAGTTCATGAACTCAGGATAAGTGAGGTGAAGAACTGCAGGATCTGCTGCCCCGCCCCCCGTATAGTGGACACGTAAAGGGGTCTATTTTGCAAGCTCCTTCATTTAGGGTCTTGCTTTTTTTTGGATATGGTTCCAAAAATCGACTCTAGCTGTCCATAGCACCCCCCTCCAAAACCCGAACCCCGAGAACCGCATCGCGCCGAAGCTGAGGGGCGGATGGCCTCCGCGAGCGCCTGGCGCTCGTTGCCCACCAGCGCCTCCGCCAAAGCGCAGATCCGCGCCTTGGCGATGGCGCCCAGGCGGTCGTAGAGCCGCTGCACCACCAGCCTCTTGAGCCGGGGGACCGCGCGGCGCGGGGTGAAGCCGTGGGGGGGGGGGGGTGAATCAAATTTGGCTGTGGTGGTCCGAAAATACGTACCGAAAATGGGTTGCCCTAGATGGAAACAATGACTAAAACCTGTGGTCCAATTCCTGGTGGCTTAATTTTGACCCATGCCCATACCCATTTGGGACAGTTCGGAGAAAGAAAAGACTCCCTGCGAACGGGGGGAAAAGATAGGGATTCTGGAAATCCGTAGGGGCAATCCGCGATTAGAATCCGGAACAACTCTAGGGGGGTGAAAAGATAGAGATCCTGGTGGGAAACCCGGCGGGTTAGAACATTCTGGCTGGAAACGGGGCTTCAGCAATTGATGGCTGACTTCTGTGAGGGGGATTGTATGCGTTTGGTGTGAGAAGGCAGACTAGCGGGCAGAAGAACAGCGTGCTGACCCGGATTAGCCATGACATGGTGTCCTCGCACAACTTGCTGCGGTTTGGGGTCTTCTCTTCCAACCACACTCAGTCACCTTGCTTTAGAAGACACCCTCACCATCATCTGCTTTTGGTGTTCGGGGGGGGCTACCGACCGATCCTCGCTTGCTACTTTCCCTTGTCTTGCAGTTTCTTTCCAGGTTACACTTTGACTAGGAACGGCCAACAAGAACCAACGGGTTGCCCGCTTCCCTCCTTTTGGTTTCCACTCCGGCCAGATTCATGTAAAAGACGCTCGTGCATTTTGGGCAACACATGACAGTTATCTGAAATTCCTTGTTCCGGAAACCGCCATCTTCGCGAGAAAAAAAATAACTTTCGCGGACCCCATCGCGGAACTTTCGCGGGGCTGTTTTCAGAACATTCATCACAAAAGTAATACACGAAGTACACTTTCGCAGCCCCAGCCTGAAAGCCGCAGCTTTTCAACACGAAAGTAGCAAAGTAAGCTTCCGCAGCCCGGCTTGAATGTCGCGCAACTCGTCAATACGAAAGTAGTACATGAACTAAACTTCCGCAGCCTCGAAAGTCAAAGCTTTCTAATACAAAAGTAGTACACAAAGTAAGCTTCCGCAGCCCCAGCTCGAAAGTCACAACCTTTCAGTTCCAAAGTAGCACGCGAAGCGCGTTTCCGCAGCTCCAGCTCACAACATCTCACAACTGTTACCTGCACACGAGAGGACCCGTTGGCCTCAGGTCCGGAAACTGGCGGGGAGGTCCGTCGACTTTCGCGAAACTTTCGCGGATCTTACGCCAAACATTCGCGAAAATCCGGCTGGAAGCTGCGCTCCACTTGACCCGAAAGCTTCAAAACTCCCACAAGCCGGTTTCTGCTGGCCGGGGGTTGCTTTTGCAGCGGCGTATTCTTGCGGCGACCCTCAGGCTGCGCATTCCCCGGCCAACTTTGGTCTGCGGGCATTCTGCCAGCACTGCCGGTAAATACACATGGTTCATCAATCCAGCTTCCTGTTAGCAAGCCACCCTTACACAAAACTTTCGCGAATAAACAATTAACTTTCGCGACCCCCTCGCGGAACTTTCGCGGAGGCCAACGCCAAGACCAAAAGGTCTTCCCCTTCATAGCTCAATACAAGGACCTTTCGGACGACTCTCACATAGAGTACCCGGCAATGGCATGGCTTTGTGATTGGTGCCTGATAACTTGGATGTTCGGCCTTGTTTTTTGTGTTTGCAAGCTGGCCTGGCCAGGCGAAACAGAACCTGTGGAACTCATTGAGCCACAGTGCAAAAACTTGAGCCCTAGCTATCCATCGCATCTGGAATTATGCATCATGATGTTCTTCATGTTGTGTTTCCCTCAAAGCCATCCCCCAGGTGGGTGTATCCCTACTTGGTGTTGACATGGCTGGTCCCCCTTCCCCCCGCGACATCACCCACTTTTCTGCTGGAGGCGCTGAATTTGCTTCGTGGTGGGCATGATGTCGTCATCTTTCCGCAGGCCGAACGCCGCGCCGAGGCCGTGGATGAAAGCGGACACGAAGCAAGCAAACTCGGATTCGTCCAGGGACCGGCTATCATCCACGTCGAACAGGCCTCGCGGCTTCGAGGGAAACCCGGACCAAGGCTTCTGGGTGTCAGGCTGGAAAAGACACCGAAAGATTGGAAAAGGGGACCAAGTTCTGCAGAAGCTTTTGCGATGCAGTTGAGGCGACGATGTTATCATGTGACACCAAGGCTTTGGGGGCAATGAAACGAAAAGGATGACAACCGTTAGGCATCCCCAGGACATATACTTGGCACAAGTGGTCCTTTTCCTCATCCAGGTCCCTCTGCCTGCACGTGGCAACCAAAATGACCGGATAAAACATTGGTTCAAGTAACCGAGTAACCCTGACTTGGCGGCTTGGATTGTAGAGGGGAAATGGGTCCTGAGATAACTTCCCAACCACTAATCCAGAACAACCATCGGAGGGAAGCTGATATAATAACATTGGTTTGGACGCCATCTCAGAAGCCTGCAGCCTCCACAGCCGCCTCTCCTCTGCCACTTCAAGCATAAACTTCTCTCTGTATCTCTCTTTATCTCTCTCTCTCTATCTGTCTCTCTCTCTCTCTCTGTGTCTCTCTCTCTCTCTCTCTCTCTCTGTCTCTCTCTCTCTCTCTCTCTATATGTTCCTTATTTTACTCAAGGACAAAGACTGGTCTCAAACGTTGACCCGCGAAATGGCATCACGAGCAACATCTATACCATGTTCCCACGCTGCCTGTTTCCACTGCGCTGCCCCCAACCGGACCTCTTGGAACCCACGAAATGTTTTAAAGAGAAACCCCCTCGACAAAGAATGAGAAGAGGGCCCCGCTGCTCGTCTGGTTGGGGTCCATATTTTTTAAACAAAAAATCACATGCGTCTGCCGCTCAGAGGCCTAGGATGAACTTCAGCTTCTGTTTTGTAGCGATCAGCCGGGAGAGCACCACTCCCGCCATCATCAGCTCACAAATCCTTGGCCAACAGCTGCCCAGCTGTCTGGGCCGGGCGCCTGCAGGTCCCTCCCCAAAAAAAAGTTGGGAGAGAAGGGCACTCCTGGGAAACAAGAGAGGCATGTCCCCCTCCATTGCTCCCTGGCCATTACTCTGAAAGCTCAGGCCTCCAGTGGCTGCGGACCCCCCCGCCCTGTTCCCCAAGGAAGGAATCGCCCAACGAATGATCGAAAGCAAGTGAGACTGCGGATTTATTTTGGGTTTTGTTCTTTTTGTTCGGGGGGGGGGATTGTTTTTTTGTTGTTTTGTTCCCCGTCTTGGCCAGCAAAGAAGTCGCATTTTTCGGCGCAGAGTTCACTTGCTGGTTGTGGTACTCAAGGCGGCTCACGAACTGTCCAGCAGAAAAACATGTTCTCGAACACCCCCCCCAAAAAAAAAACAAAAACACACACACACACACAAGGTTAGCCATCAGCAAAACAGCCGCAATCGAACAAGCCAACCTTCAAAACAGGGTTGTGCGAATTGATGGGAATCCCAAGAACTACTCTGGGAGGTTCTCTGTAACAGAAATGGGAACCACTTGGGTGTTTAACCAACTTAGTATGTGGGTCGTAACCATGGTTACAAGGAGCGATCACAATGGCTATAACCTATATACTTTCTAAGTTGGTTGAACATCCAATCCCTCATTCCCACCAACAACCCTGTGCAAAAACAGCCTGGTCGCCATTTCTACCACCAAACGAGTGAAAACCAAAGAGAACAGCCTGGGAATCTCAGGTCCAAAGCGCCGCGTTCCTAAAACCCAAAGCGCCGCTGAAGAAATGTCCCGCGCTAAACCCTTGGGTGCTGTAGATCCCCCAGCAAAAAAGTTTAACTTTCTGGTTAAAAAGGAAACATGAGGGGAATCCAAAAGGTTAAAGTCTAAAGATCCGTTGCCCAACAGCAGACAGAACCCGCGGTTTGGCCGGGGCTCCGGATCTTGCACTTCTTCAGGGCTTCACCTCCGCTGGCCCCCGAGAGCCGCCGATGCCCCGCGGGGTCGAACCTCGAGCAGCCCGCTCGAAGGTGGCGAGAAACGGCGCAACGACTTCGCAACCAAAAACGCTGTGGGCTTGCAGGAAAACACGCTCTGCTTTTTGCAGCCCACTAAAAATGAACAGAAGCAACAAAAAACAACTTGCCAAGAACAGTGAAGTGCAAGTAAGTAAGTTCTGTATACGTGCTTTCCTGTTCATATCTGATACACTTCTCTAGGCATGTGTGTGCGTGTGCGGTGCTTTTGTTTTTGCATGATCAAAAATGATGATGTCGTTTAATCAAGGTACGCTTTCGTTTGACCCACATCCTTCCATGGAGAGTTGGTACTGTACCATGTATGACCTGCGCTTCTTTCTTCCGCCAAACTTTCGTTGCTTAGAATGGGGGGCTGGATACGGGCGAAGCTCAAACCCGCCTCCACCCCAAGTGGAGAGGCTGAGCTTTGTTCCTGGGATCTGTCACGCACTGGTCTCACCCAAAGCAAAAAGGCTTGCCCATTAAAGGGCAAGTGGCCATGGCCGGCCAAAAGGTCTGCCTCTTCAGAAACCTGCACATGTTCTCGTTGAATTTTGGGCACCGAAGAGAAGGGGGAGGGCGGAGTACCGACTCAAAACTGACTCATACACTTCTGGTGGATGCCAGGCTTTTCCCCCCCCCCCCCCGGTCAGGCCCCCTGCCTGCAACCCAACAACTGGCCAGTACATGCGCATGCAGCCCCAAAAAGAAGCTGTTCCCCCAAGAGCAGACCCCTCCAAACTGCGATGTTTGTTGGTGGACTCCATATTCATCTGCAAGACGAGGGTTTTTGGAATCCATAAATTGTTGTTGTTTATATTTATATATATATATGCTTTCAGCCCGTGGTTTGCCGAACCGCTTCATCGAGTTCTCGAGCCCCCCCGGTTGTTTGCGAACACGCCGGGCAGCAGCTTGATGATCTCAATGCACTTGTTGGGCGGCACCCGCAAGATCTTGTTCCTGAGTGGTTCTTTGGACTTCTCGCTCAAAGTTTCTGAGGGTTTTTGTATTACACCCTGGGATTACACCCTTAAGAAATGACCCGGAAATGTGCCTAAATGGGGTCAATACCCAGTAGGTGTATTCCAAGGGTGCAGTGCGAAAACCGTTAGACAGTTGTAAACCTTGAGGGGGATTTTGGGTAAGAATTTTCATGCGTGAATTTTCATGAGTGGGGCATGCGTATTGGGTTTTCATGGGCATGAATGTTCATGGAGGAATTTCCGTGGCTGGACCTTTTGATGGACATCGTGTTGGTGAGGAGTCATGTCCACCAGATTACCCGGCCCTCGACTCTACTAGCAAGGAACCTGAATAGGGGACCCTGCTTTGTTTCATGTTGAGGGCAAGCTTTCAGTAGGACATGTCCTGAAACCTTGCTGGGTGTCTAAAAGTCTCTGTCGGGTAAAGTCCCGTCTGGGCAAAGAGTGTTTAACTTGTGGCAGAGTGGAAAAGCGCACATGATTTCAGCTAAAGATTCAACCCACCACCAGCTAAGCAAATGGGTTCGTGTCAACATAGGAATCGGAACCCATGCAAATCAAAATGTATCGGATCCCTTTGGCGTACCTTTAAAACCACCCCAAGAGCGGGGTCAACATGAAAGATCCCCAACGAGCCAACTCGGAGTTTCTCGAAAGGATCCTGGCTCGGAAGGGAAACCCTTCCAAAGCACACCCAAACCGGAACCCTTTCGGCTCACTTGCACCGAATCTTGACAAAATTATCAAACCATTTGGAACCCAAACACTTAGTTCGGCAGATTGAACCTCCCAGACTCCCAAAACACTTTTGGGCACCTCCAATTTGTTGGGCTTTGTTTTTTCTTTGGGCCACCTGAGGTTTCCTCCCCTTGGTCTGAAGGCGAGGCCCAAGGCTCAGCGCGTCCCCGTCCACCAGCTCCGGCGCTTTGCCTGGAGTCCAGCCGCCGCACTCCTGAAACGGGCAGAAGGCGCGCGATGGAAGTTGCGGAGGGCGAGAAGTTGAGTCGTTTCTGTGGGGCTTGGTTTGAGGCTACTGTGTTTTCTTTTTTTGGTTTGGGGGGCCTTAGTTTGAGGCTACTTGTTTTTCCTCTCTGTGGGGGCTCAGTTTTTGCTTGTGGAGCTTCTTGGAGAACCAACTGAGTGGACATACATTACCCACTTACCTGATCTTGGTTGAACACCCAAGTACCAATTGATATGGAACCTGCCAGGGGGGTCCTGGAAGACCATGTTCCTGGGTCCCTGTGAGGTTCCATGCAGATGGTTGGGTATCTTTGGTGTCACTTTGATAAACCTCTAGTAAGTAGGCTATAGCCATGGTTCTAGCTGGAATGGCTGTAACCCACGTACCTGACCTTGGTTGAACACCCAAGTACCCATTGATATGGAACCCGACAGGGGGGGTCCTGGAAGATCATGTTCCTTTTAAAGGGACGGGGTCCCTGTGAGTACGTGCTGATGGGTTGGGTATCTTTCGGCTTTCACATTTGACGGGCCCAGTGGCGGGCAACAGGGCCTTTTTGCCTTGGCTTGGGTATGGGGGCCGGTGGAGGCTTCTGGGGCCGGTGGACGTTTTAGGGTCTTTGCGTGTAGAGCTCCTGCCACCGGTTGAAAGCCTGGATCCAGAAGCCCAGCGTGCGGTTCCTCGGCGGGCTCAAAAGAGGCGATCCAAAAGGACCACGACTCTCTCAAACCAAGAACCCTCCAACTTACCTTTTGACCATACCACGGACTCCCAATGAAAGCAATTATCATCATGGAAGGGTTGGGGTATTATCAAAATATATGTTGGTGGGTTTTGGAGTCGACAACCATGGAAGCTGGCAGCAACGTTGGACAGCTGGCAGGTGAAATCCGGCCTCCGCAACTCAACAGAGACAACGCGACAACCCTCCGGGCACGAAGCCGCAAAGTCTTCAAACCAACCAACTAGACATCTAAGTGCCGTATCTCTTGCTTCGATGGATGTGGCATGTGTAGTTGATGTGATGTTCTGCTCAGGTTCACAGCTATAATAACTACACCTAAAAGCGGAGGCGCACCTATGCCTCAAGCACGCTCTCAATTTAGCTCGCTGGCCACCTTCGGCTTGATGTGAACTTCGCAGAAATCCAAAGTTCACTGCGCCAAAAGCGGATCAAGAGGGTTCCCCTTGCGCAGGGCAGGTTCCTCTGAAGAGCGCGAAATCCGGACTCCTAAGATCTTCATCTGGCTTTGTGTTCTTGTTGAAGGGCGATTGTCCCTTTAAGGTTGGCGTGGGAAACCAACAGGAATTCCGATGCCATTTGGCTCCTTCCAGCTCCAGCTCTTTGTTTGGCGCATCCATACCGCCGAGGCGCTGTAGCGAGCGGAACTCCTCAGGAGGAGTTCCGGTCAGCAGAGTGCACCAGAAGGGAGCGTCAAATCTCGGCTCGGCCCGGACAATGGCGGAAAGGAGTGCCACCCTGCAACCCTGGGACCCTCCCCCTTTCTTCACACGGAACCTGCGGTTGACCCTTCTTCCCTTGGAAAGGAACATGGTCCTAACCAGGGCTTGGTTCCATGTTTGGTGGGAGGCTACGCGGGCGTTCCAAAAATGTCAGGGAAGTGGGTTATAACTTGGAAGCGGACCATCACCCCAGTTACTCCGTTTATAACCATGGATGCAACCTACTGACTAAGTTGGTTCATCCAAGTAAGCGTGGCAACCCGCTGGGAGGTGGTTTCGATATGAGTTTCCCGAAAAGCCAAAATCCTTTTTCTGGCAGCCTATTTTGAGACGAGACAAACAAACAAACAAACAAACAAACAAACAAGCTACGATGCTCAAAAAGGATAGCTGTGAACAGCGGCTTGGAGGGTAACCGGGGGCTTGGGTTGTTACCAGTGTTATCCTGTTGGAGGAAATACAGGCTCCGTATATTTCCCCTTAAAACATCACCCCCACCAAGGGACACCCACCTTTCATTGTCCAAGAAGGTGATGGTTAAAACCGCCAATGAGGGAAATACTGGGATTTCTGGAATACAGAGGTCGGTTTGCCACCCCAAACCAAACTGCCCTTTTGCAGAGGGTCCACCCGTCGATGTGTTCCACTGGTTTGAACATTTCAGCCCTGGTCCCTTTAACGAACACATAGCCTTAGCCAAGATTGGACCTGGGTAGGTGCGAGGTGCGTGAAAATATACTTCGCTGGAAGCTGGCGATGTCTGCCAGTGGAAGGCTTGGACATGTTTTGGGGAAGCCAAGTTATGTCAACAATAGTGGCTTACAGTTGAATATGAGAGTGAGTAGCACAATTCCCCCATTCTGGGCTTATGCACCCCCTTACCCAAACGGAACTGTGGCATGAGCAGGCCAACCCGACGCTTTCGCACGGGAAAACAGGTTAAACATGTGGGTTTTGGACGTCTCACCACCATCCTTTGCCCCAACCCGCAAGAAAGGAAATCAAGAAAACACCATGGGAAGGGAACTTACGTACACCCTCAACGCAAAGTGGGTCTGAGAAGAGTTGTGACAATCGTTCTGGTGGGTTGGGGGGCCCTGACGATTAGCCCAATATTCTATATTTTGTGACATGTGTATATAAATCCGGTGGTGGGGATACAATTATTCGCGCAGCCCATTAACACGATCTGTCTGCAAGCCCATGGTTGCAGTGGCAACATCTAATCGGGGCAAAGATAAAGCTCTCAGTTCATGCCATGCCGCGAATGGAATCCAGTCCATTTCGCAGCAGGTAGAACCCCCTGAAAATACCAACAAACGTCATTGTTTGTTTCCACCATGGTTTCAGTTCGTGAACGGATACAGCATGCAGTCTTGGAGGACATGGAGGGTGTCAATTTCCCAAGTCAACACACCCTGCGCGCCACTTAGATCGACCCCATGTCCAAGCCAGGGGAGCCAAGAAACACGCCGTTGGTTTGGTTGGGCAAGGCCGATGGCTTGCCCAAAGCCTCCCATTCAAAAAAAACATCCCAGAAGCATACCCTCGGGAAAAAAATAAATAAATAAATATAACAACAACAATAATAAAGAACAAACAAACACATCCCGTGCACTTCCCGGAGAGTGCGGGAAGTGCATCCCATGTCGGATGAGGGAATCATTGCTGACGCGGCGCTTGGTGGACGGATCTTCCGCGAGAACCGCCAGGCCGATCTGGTCCACGCTGCATTCTGCAAAGGACCTCAGCGTCGAGCGCGTATCGGGGAGCGGACCCCTGAAAGCCAGAAATGCTCTGCTGGCGGAGTTTTGGAAATGAAGGGAACACCCCTGGACCAAGGCGAAAAGAAAAAAACAAAAAATAAAGAGAAAGGAAAGCCCAGGCAATGGCAACAACGCCGCATAATGAAGAACAATTTGTGTTTGTATAGAGATATATATGGTACTGGGACATGTTAGCCCTGTTGCTTGTATGGCCAGCCGCGAATTTGAACCTCTACGCAACGCAGCCGCAGCCTCGTGAGGCGATGAAAGATGTCGCCACAACAGGGCCGCTTCGCACTCTCAAAGCCGTTCCCCTCTCCAGCATGTGTTTTTTTCTCAAGCAACGTCACGCTAGCATTCTGAAATCTGCATTCCTGTTTGGGGGCACCATGTCCAGGACCCACACCAGAAGTTTTGAGCCTGGCTCATGACGTTTTTTTGTTTCAGAGCGGCACCGGAAAGCTATTCCCAAAAATCATAGACACCGGCTGCCAAGAAGATCTGCGCAAATCTCTAGACATTTCAGCCGCTGGCTTGCATGAACATAGGCCTGGCGGCATGCCTCAACTTGCGCAGAGGACCTTGGGTGCCTTCCGGGGGGGGGTAACCCGAGAGCTGGCATGCCCGGATGTGAGTGCTGATGGGACGTATTCTGGAAAGGTGCATCGAAGGGGTGCAACGAACCAGAAAGCTCGCACATGCATTTTGGAGGAACCGGGTCCGGAGTTCATTCATGCGTCCAATGCAGAAAGCAAAAGCTGCCATCCTAAGAAAGCCACCCCCTTCATCCAAACCACCCTCCTCCATTCCAACTTAAATGGGTGTCTTTTTGTAGGGGAGCCCCAAAAATGCGGGTTTTCCTCATGGTTTCCTTTAAAACCTACCAAAAAGGGATACCAACTCACCAAAAAGAAACGGAGCTGCCCAAAATGGCTCTGCATCTGTGCGTGATTACAGCTGGAGCCCTCGGCGTTCTGCTCCAGTCTTCCCGTTCAGGAGGCCCCGATTTCACTCCGAGCTCTCAAGATGATCTCGCTTGCTTTCTGCTCCCTTGCTAAAAGTTTAACTTTCAGTGGTTTAATGGAAAACCCAGGAGTTGGCAAAAGTGGAAGTCCTAACATCCCTTGGCAACATGCAGAACAGTAATTCTGACCCCTGAAAATAACCCCCCCCCCAGTTATTCATCACATTGGTGGCGTTTGTCTTCCTTTTCAAGAACGCCTCCTCAACAAAAGTTGGTACGTTCAACCCAGGCCTCACTGGATTTCCCGGAAGAAGCTGCAGCTGACTGGTAAACTCCAGACATAAGTCGCCCCTTTGTAAGGTCCAAAAACTTGGCTGGAATCCGGACTGGGGGGAGCTACTTATGGGGGCTGGGGGAGGGGAGGGCGGGAGCCCAAATAAGCCCTAAATTCCCCCTCCCCTCCCCATGAACTTCTGGAAACGGGGGGAACCGAGGGGGCTGGAATAAACCGACCCGGCAGGGCGCAAATTCCGCTGAAGCAGGTCCACCGCAGAGGGTCTTCGCCCGCGGGCCTTCAAAGAAGAGGCGTGTGTTAGGGCTTGTCGACTCGAGAGATTCCATATGAATCAACCCCTTTTTCTTCTAGTCTGGCTCGCTCGCCGGGTATTGGAGGGTATGCCCTGGTTTTGGGGTGGTTTTAAGTAAAGCCCTAGGGGTACCTTCCATTTCCAATCCCTCCCCTGATCCGAATCTTTTCAAGAAACCACCAAAAACCCAGGGGAAACAGTTGGTGATTGAAAAGAGTGATGTTTGAAAAGAATGGGGAATCAACCCCTGGACATTCATTAAGAGAGCGGGTGTTGTTGGGGATGTGGTTTGTGATGGGTTGGAGCTGTAACACTACATCCCTGAGCACCCCTTCTGCTTATGAATAGGGGGGTATCAACCGAGTGGAATGTGGTTGGAACCAGACCACTTTTGGAGGGGAACACCCCCAGCCCCAAAATTTAATAAGCTGGGGCCTGATAAATATGGGGCCAACATTAAGGCCCAAATAACACTCAACTAAGTCCGCGCTCTAAAATGAGTGAGGCAGGAGATCGGGGTTGTCTTTCCAACCCTTGGTATGGTAGCAACGAACTGCCTGTTGTGTTTATTTCATTTTTATTTTTTTGCGTCCCCCTAAAAATGAACAGAACCGAAAACAAGATAGACCTACAAACATGAGCCAACAGTGAAGTTGTGGTCCATGATGGAACCTGAAACGGGTTGCAAAATCCCCTGAAATCCCCAGCAAGCCGCAGCCATAGCACTAGAGAAGCCGCATGCTGACTGGCCAGAAATCATCCGAAAAAAAGACGGGTGATACGTGACGCGAGTCTGGGCTGTCCGTTTTGCGATCCCCTGCTCAAAGTCTTGAACTCTTCGTGGGTTAAACGGTTAAATGGAAACCCAGTCACGAAACTGTAGACATCCAAAAAAAACCAAAGGAACCGGACGGCTGGGTACGAAGTTGACATGGGACATGAGAGCTGGAAGGCTTTCCTAGTTGAACATTGCCTGGGGACCCCCCCCTGCAACGGACTCAGCTTGAAAAGTCCGAGGTCTGAGAGCGCCACTACCCTCACTTGCCTTTCTGCGGGTTTTCTTGTGGGCTTTTGGTGGCTCTTCGGTCCGATGCCAACCCTATAAACCCACACGAAACTGCAACACACCCACCCTGAGCCATGAACCTGCCGTTTCACCAGCATGGCTCGGGTGTCAACACGTCCGAAACCCACTTTGGCACCAACTGAGTGGGACCTCCGGAGGACGCCTGAAGGATCCCTCGAACGTGGCTCGCTTCACATCCCCCTGTTGAAAGCCAAAGAAAAGATTTCCAGGCGATCTTACCTGAGCCGTCCTAGGTGAGCAGTGCTTTTTTCATTGTGTGGGTCCTTATCATTCTTTGCTTGCTTACGCGGTGCTTACGCCACGCCTACACGAAACGCAACAGTCCCACCAAAACGCCTATGCGAGACTGAGCTGACTAGACATCTGCCTACGCCGCCTACACGCAGGATGAAACCGAGGCGAGCCACCAAGGGCCTCCGGTCAAACTTTGCACGACATGCCTACGCGAAGCCTACGCGGCGCCTACGCGAATTCCGCCTGCTTCGTTTGGATTCCGGTTGCCTATTAGCGCAACTGGTCTACTAGCAGCAGCGCCGCAGTACGAGTTGCCAGCTGCGCCGCCGGACAAGCAAACCTTCTCCTTCCTCCGCCAACAACCGCCAGCTTGCGCCGTCATGCTGCAAACAGCTGGCGAAAAACTACTACCCACAGCTTGCGCCAAACTGCCACTCATAAACGGTCACACAACCATGTCTTGCATAACAACAATGCTCAACATGTCACGTGACAGTTCAAGCTCACAAACGGCCGCCTACGCGACGGCCTACGCGAAGCTTCGCGGCACAAGCCTCCGCGAAATCCTACGCACGCCCACGCGGATGTGGCCCTGTGAGTCAAACGCCTACGCAACATATAACAAATGTCGCCACGAAGATGTGGATCTTCACCCAGGAGAGGAAAAAAACACTGCTCAGATGCCCTGCTACAAGTTTAACTTGTGGGTTAATTCAGCGGAAACCCACACAGCAAAAAAAAAAAAAACTACACAAGCCACCTTAAACACCTAAGGGGACCGGATGCCCGGGAACCACCAAGTTATCCTTTCCAGGGTTTGTTCCGGCGTGTGGCTTTGCACAGTACACCCTGGCCCCCGCCGCGCTCGGCCTTGGCCTCCGCCGGCGCCTGACGCGCGATTGTTTTTTCGGCCCGCGAAGCGCTGGGCCCTTCCCCGCTGGCTGGGTTTCTCACGTCCGATCGAGCGCATTGGGCAAACAAGGTTTAAAGACGCTTAGTTTACCACAACAATGCTCCAACCCCAAAAAATGACTCAAGTCCGAAAAACAGAACTCGACAAGTGAGACTGTTTTCTCTTGCCCCAAGAACCTTGGGCCCGCAAGCGCCTTTTTGAGGCCTCCAAATCCTTCCTCGCCAGGGGGGGGGGGGTATTCAAATGCCAGCGGCTTGCCAAGGCCGTCAGTATGAGCTGACCTGCTGAGTTGGCGAGAAAATGCTTACGCACTTTCCGGGGCTTGATGAACATAATTCTAGGGGTACCTTCCATTTCCATTCTTTCCAGGGATCCGTCTTTTCAGGAAACCATCAAAAACCCAGGGGAAACAGCCAGTTCTTGAAAAGAACACTGGTTGCAAAGAATGGGGAGTCAACCCCTAGAATGATGAAGACACGCGCTTGTCTCAAAATCAGGGGGAACCCCCCCAAACCAGTGACTTTCCCGGGGTTTCCTTTTCAAACCCTCACAACAAAAGGGTGCCATCAAACATGACGCCCTTATTCAGGTTTGGTCAGCGTGGCCACACCAACATTGTTCGTAAAGTGTGCACACTCAACTGGTACAGGGCACAAGTCTGAGCTCACCTTGCAAGTGTTCCATGACGATCTGATTTGGCGCTTTGCCCTGTAGCAACATGCTGGCTGACGGCTAGAGCAAAAGCCGCGTGTGGCTTTGCTCTCTCCGGGTGAAAGCTCAAGCTTGCCGAAAGCCGAAAGACCACCTTGCAGAACCCAACAAAAGACTTGATTGGAAAGGGACTTGCTGAGGAACCCTCAAACTGCATCCACCCAAAAGGCCGCCAACTAACAGATTATATACAAGAGTTGGGGGAAACTTGCCTGAAGAGTGTGTCCAAACCACGGTTGCTGACACACCTCCCCTTTCAATGTCACGCCCTCCTCTCCAACAAAGGACCCAAACCGAGGCCCCTCCCATTCAACAGGACCCCTGGCAGAGTTCGGTTCAGAGCCTCCGCCCACGGTTGGCCCACGTCCAGCCGTCCCGCCTTCTTTGGCGCCATCAAGCTACCGAAGCATCAACCGGCCGTGTCTCACAAGCAGCAAGCGCTGGCGAGCTTTCTTTGCAAAATCTTACAAGAAATAATTATCTTGGTTGCATTTTTTTGGGGGGGCATTGGTGGCAGCTGCTGGCAGCTTCCGGATGTAAACAAGCCGCAAACGCCGAAAAAACATCGGCACATCTGGCAGAAAAGCACCTTGCAGGCTGCAATGTAGACGCCTGCGTTGATTCTCTCCTGGGCTTTCTTGTTACGTGTGCCATGTGCCTTGCTGTTGAAGCGCAAATGCTGCAGCGCGTCTCACCCTGCGAGCAACCTCAAGTACCAAGCCAAAGGAGCCATGGCATTGCATCCACACCAACGGCTGCCCAGGCCCCAGGCCAGGTTCAACATGCTTGACCAATCCAAATCCATCCCGATGGACGAAATCCGAGGCCGTGCCACAAAATGACATTTAGGCATTTCCCTAGAATTATGACTGACGCTTGTAGCCAACCATTGGAAACATGGAAACAAATATTTTAGCAAGAAGTTTGTGAGTTTTGTGAAAGAGAGAATAGAGAGGTTTGTTCGACTGTCTTGCTGTTCGGCATGTCTTTAACCGCTCTGGCTTGTGGCGCTTAGGTGTGCTGTCTGTCTTCAGCCACCCTGGCTTGTGTTGCTTAGGTGCTCTGATTGTCTCCAACCACTTTGGTTTGTGTTGCCTTGGCGTTCTGTCCGTCTTCGGGAACTTCAACCACCCTGGCTTGCGTTGCCTAAGTGTTCTGACTTCAAACACTTTGGCTTGTGTCGCCTCTTGCCTCTGACAAAGACCCACCTGGGCCTAGAAAATCGGCATGTCTTCCTCGATGGTGGTTGGACATGGCTGTTGTTGGGAAACGCCTTACATTTTGCTTATTGTGGTTTAGTGGGAAATCCCCACTTAACGGCTAAACAATTTGTTGCTCCCCTTCCAACGTCAACCAAGTGAAAGGGAGCCGTTGAGCTGGGCGTATCCAAATTTGCTGTAGGGAGCTAAGCAGCTACCAGGAGTTCTTTATTGAGATGGTAGCTGCTTATTTCGAGGCCCCGGTATCCCTGTTTGATGTAGTTTTGCAGCAGGGAACGGAGTTCAAAGCAATGATCAGCCAACTCGCTCCCCCTGAGCTGGAAAGAAAGGCCCCGCGTGGGTGGAATCCTACTCTTCCGACCTTGGGAAGGCTTTTGGATGCTGTTTGCAGGTGAGGATTTCGCAACCATCCACAGTATCGAGCCACTACAATTTGGGGTCACCTTCCGTAACCTGAAAGGATCTCGGATTTGAACGGCCCAGCATTCGGCACCGGAGGCAAAGAATTCTTGGTTTTTTCCTCTCAGCCCCGGGCTGCCCGGACGCGTGCCAAGGCCTTGCACTGAAGCCCATTCTAGCGCAAGGGAAGCAACTCTTGGCGTGGGCTTGCACAAAACTGGCGGGGTTGTGTGCCCCTCCTAGGAACAATGAACAGAGCCGAAAACCAAAAATGCCAAGAAGAGTAAAGTTTGAAAAAGAAAGTCCATGTCTTCCTCCGTTGCACGATTGGAGGGTGACATGTGAAACAAACTCACGAATGCAAAAGTGAGGTCAAAAGCTTGGCTTTGCACACATGACGAGACAGGCTGCAGGGTGATTTGGAGGGGATGGGTCAAGGCCCCCCCTGAGCCCTTCCGGAGGCGAAATTGCCAAGCCCTCTTGCAGCAAACATGCTCGGCGATTGAAGTCTAGACCGCGCTTTAGATGATCCAACTGTGCATCCCACCACTTGTCCGCACATTTTTTTGCACCCTGCTGGTCCACAGGAGGAGCATGAAAAAACCAAACCCCGAATGAAGAGCAATGAGGCGGTCGGAGCAAACTATGTTCATCGTTTCTTGCAGGCCTCAAGTCCCAGAGTTGGCTCATGTAAGAACACGCTACGCGTCTAGGTCCTCCAGTAGAGAGGATAGAGTAAGGGTAACCTTTTTTCAGTAGTCTATTTTAGTAGGGGAACCCTCCCAACAAAAAAAGGGGTGAGAAAGGGCACTACTGGGGGACCTAGGCTTCCTCCCAAAGAACCCCCTGTCAAGTTCCTGGACAAAGGTCAGGCTAGGGCCATGACGCCGTGAGCTCCTTCGATCAGTTCGGGCAACTGCGCCGGAGCGCAAACCTTCACACACTCGATGCGCATCTGCCTGGGAAACCGCAGAAATGAGAGTCAAGGGGTTACAGGAAATTCTACAGGAAAATAGCTTATTTAGGATATTGTGGGGCAATTTCCTATAGCTTTTCCTGAAACCAAACCCTTTGAGAGAGGTCTGGCTTGCGCTGAATCGTTGCCTTGAAATCTCCCCCGCCCCTCGTGACCTGGCTCCCTCGTGCAACTGTTCCGGAAGCAGCCAGCAGCCCAAACCAAACACTTTGTCGATTGATGGTCGAGGGCAGAGGAAAAACCAAACAACAAAAGGAAACAAAGGAACAAAACCAAGGCCGGTTCTGTCAAGCGGGGCGGGGGGAAAACGGCTATGCTGGCCCCTTTCCATCAAAGGAAGAGTCAGCTCTGCTTCCAGCGATTCGTGGTAAGAAAATTCTGTGAAAGTACGCAATCCTATGACTATATAATCATTTCAAAGGGGAATCCTTTTGCATGACAGAAAGTGGCACCCTACAGCTACATTGTCCACAACCATGCAGGTCATTTGCACCTCCCCGTCTTCCTCAACACCGCGAAACTTGTTGTCTGAAGCACCTTCCAGCCAAAGAATGCCGGAAGATCTCCCATGGAACCTGAAGATGAATCCAGAAAGTTGGAGCAAGATGACATGAGCCTGATATGATCTGAATAGATTTTGGCTTTTAGCAGGGATATCAACCGAATATGTTGGGTTCATATCAGGGCCCGACTCACCGTTTGGGTACTACAAAACGGGGTCCCGGAATCCCGGACTGAACCACCGTATGAGTGGAAGGGTTTGTTGGACCAGTTATCTCAATTCCTCACCCACGCAATGTGGTTACGTGGTTCTATTTCCCCCAAATTCCAACCTACCAACAGGAAAACTCAGGGTGATGTATTCAACTCACTTCCGGAGTGGATTGGTCAGAAAAAAGTTCAACTTTGCCAACAAACTGGTCTGCCCAATCAGCTTAATTGTCCAGGACCTCAGGAAGTGAGCTAACCCACCCTTCAGGGGAAAAAAAAAGAGGGATCCCTGCGTGTAAAAGCCATTGACCAGTCCCGAGTTCACCCCCAATGCTTTGGATTAATCGGTTTGCTAAGGACCTGATCGAAGTGAAGATTTGGCTGTGGCTCAAAAAAACCGGTACCAAAATGGAACCCTGGTAAGTGGAAACATGGACCAAAACCTGCGTAACCCCTCCTGTTTAATTTTGAGTCGCACCCATTTGTTGATCTCAACGTTGCGTTCGGAAGGTTCCACTATCACCATGGCTGCCTGAGTTGGCTGTTTTTTTTTGGGCCAGCAACATGGAACCCAAGTTGCCAAGTTGCCTTTGGCCCGGAACAAACCTCAAAGACCCAGAAACACATGAAACTCCCTTTGGGTGGATTTGTGCTCGGCTAAATGAGTCAGTTGTTGGCAGCCCGGGTTATAACCTACTTATAGAGTTCACCCTGTGTGGATGGCTTGGCGAACCACTTACAATCTTGGCCGAACATCCAGGTATGGACCCATCAAACATTGGAAGTACCCCGTGGAACAGAGGCAACTGCCTGTGGCTGAAGATACGGGAATCATTCCGCAGGCACGCTGCAGTGGCGTGGACAAGTCTTCAATTGATGTGGCCACGTGGCTCAAACCATGGTCCCAAAAGCTCAGAACTCAGAACGAAACTTCTTCCTCTTTGAGAGTGTCCGAAAAGAGCAATGGGATCAGTAGAATACAAATCTCACTCAATTGGTGCTTTCGATTTTTGTGGAGGTGGCTAACGGGGCAAGGCTTATCGTCCGGGCAGCTCGTGTTACGAACCCTTCGGTGACGCTCAATTGGATCATCGACCCCGTCTACAAAAACGGTAAACTTAATGATAATGTGCACTTGATGAAAATGCCCCAAAGCACAGAACAAACCTCTCTGCTTTTTGGGTGGACCACCAGACTTCCCATTTGAAACATCCCCTTTTTCAAGTGGACAGCATTTAAACTGTTACACTCCTGCGGCCAACAGGCAGCCCAAAAAGCCTTACTTTTATTTCCAGAGGAACCTCCTGTTGGAGGACCGGTTTTTTAGGTTCCATGGCAATTTGAGGGGAGTACTCCTCCCCCCCCCAAAAAAAAAAAACAAAACAAAAAAAACAACTTGGCACAGAGGTCTCCCTCTGCCCAGGGCCCCAACAAGATTTTCTTGGGCCCCGGCGAGGCTCGAAGCAGCTCCTCGGCTGCCGCGCGCTCCTCCGAAAAAAAAAATCGGCTGGAGGCGAAAGGTGGGGGGAGCATGAGTCAAGGTGCACGCGTCTACTTGAGCCATGGCGCACCAAAGGCAAGGATGCGTAAGACACCCATGAACAAGTACATGCAACGGATCTTTTTGGTCTTTTTTGCAGGGGGGGGGAACCATTCCTCACTTCCGATCGAGAGGATGGGCCAAAAAAACAGCTTAGCCAAACTTTGAGTTCGCCACTATCATGGTCTTCCCGAAAAGGGACTAAAGTCCGGGAACTCAGGAAGTCAGATTCCAAGTGAGCCACGATCGAAACCTGGGTAGATGAAGGTAAAGGGGCAGTCCCACCATGGATGTGGGTAGACCATTGGAATACCAGGTTTGGGCTGTGACTCAAGCAAATTCCCTAAGGGTCTAAAAATAGTTACTTCCTACAAAATCCCCTTTAACCCTTGGACCCCCCCTGTAAGCAATTCTCAGAAGGGACTCCAAGCACCCTCTGGGATTAGGATTGGGTACGTGCAAACCATTAGTCATGACGAGAGGGGTGGGCTATTGGGAATGAGTTTTACCCTGCATCTTGCATTCAACAAATGTGTAGACATAGTGATGGTTCTGTTTTTGGGACCCCCCCCCAAAAAAAGAGAGAGAAAGAAACGAAACAGCAACAAAACAAAAAGCGGAAAACAACAACAAACGGTGATTTGACTTTTGGTATCCCTTCCAAACCACGCAACAAAAGGTAGCATCAAGAAACAAACGGAACCTTTAACACTATGCATAGAAACATATACTGTTTGTTCAATTGTCTCCCTCTCTCCCTCTCTCTTACTCCTTACTGCTACCCTGCATCCAAACATGGGAGCATTCTGGGCCCAGGAAACTGAGCCTGGCCGACTCGATGTTTCACCGTGTTGCTTTTCGAGTTACCCTCTCTTTCCGCACCTTACCCCCCACTTCCTGGACTGGCCAGAAACAGCCCAAAGAAAGCAAAGATCCTGGAGTGCAGTTGCGCACAGCTCACTTTTCCTGCGCACGCGCAATCCGAGGTCGCCTGCCTACGACAGGGAAGAAGTTCCCAGAAGCGTCTTGCCGAGACCCTGCCCTAAAAGCTTAACTCGACCCATCTCCTGTGTGATTCTGCTTGTGTATCTGAGTCTGTGAGTATCCGTGCGCGTGCAACACGTATACCTCATGTTACTTGTTCAGAGGAAGACTCATCTCTCTTCGCCGGCTCAATCCGAAGATCACGGCATCCGAAGACCACTACGCGTTTTCGATGCTGAGCTCCACAATTCGGTTGGACACCTCCTTCATGGTGGGGTAGTCGAACATCAGGGAGGATGGCAGCCTGGGGAGCCAGCCATCCAATGCTCCAAGCTTCAAACCGCAGAAACCAACCATCTGCAGCTTCTCTCCATTCCAAAACCTCCACCTGCTGGGAAAATAACAAAAAGCCTTAAGATCCTTAAGCAAGTGGAAGAAAACACAACAAAATAATTGGACAAGTCGAAGACCTGCATCATAGCTTTCGCCCGTTTTAGAATCGGTGGAATCGTGCCAAGCCCGCAAAATCGGCAGACCGGTCCCGACAAAACAACAGATACACATCATCTGTTGGTTTCCCCTTGGGTAGACCAACCAGTTACATACAATTATGGGCGACTCAGCACCCAGAAACGAGGCAGCCCGAACACCCTTTTCCCCCCCCAAAAAGCGGCTGAGCAGCTTGACGCCAAGCTGTTGCTGGAGTCCATTTCTGAAGGACACAGCCGTCAAGCTGTCCTTAGGCCAGAAATGCGAGAAAACATGCCGTGCGAAAACCTTGCTGGTGCTCAGCAGGGAATGAGGGAATGACCCTTATAAACCATCCAACTGGTGGTTTCCTTTCAGGGGACCCCAAAGTTCACCCACATTCCCTACTGCGCAGCAAGAAACCCCGCGGACCAGTTGATCAGATCCGTCACTCTCCTTTGAGTTTGACTTCGCAAGGAGAAAACCGAGAAGTGCACACGAGCTTGATGCAAAACGCTTCTGCCGGTAGCGGCTTCTTGCTTGTGTTTCTACTTTTTTTGGTTGGGTTGTGGGCCGGGCCGGCGGAGGGGTGACGGAACTGCGCAACAAACGGGGATGCGAGATGGAGTGAGTGTTGCCGAGTAAACAACGCCGCGAAATGGATAAGCCAATTGACCAGCCAGCACTGTGCGTGTCTCGCGGAAAACTAACCAGGAAAGAGTTGCAATCCCAAATCAAGTCCCTGCCAACTTGCTTTGCGAGACAGGTGTCCAAACAGGCACCCCAAATGAGCAGGAACTCAAAATCAGGTGCTTTGGCCGAAGGGCGTTAGATCAAGCAAATCCGCGTAAGCAACAAATAACAACCAAACTATCAGCACGCAAAACGCCCCCCCAAAAACGTCACTTAACCGTTTGCCGCTCTCTCTCTCTCTCTCTCGCTCTCTCTCTCTCTCTCTCTCTCTCTCTCTCTCTCTCTCTCTTAGGTTTGACTCACCGAAGATCTGGTGGCGTATGGCCATGATGCTGAAGAGCCCGGACGGGCCAAAATATCGGGGGAGGGTAGACCCAATTCTATGGGTTCTAGTACGTGTGTTTGTGGCTGTGCGTGACTTAATTGGGAACTCCGGACACCTTCAGGAGGTCCGCTTTAGGAAAAACACATTCCTGCGGAAACTCCTGCAATGGTCCTACCAAGTTGACTGACCGACGCGCAACCCAAGGGACCCATTTGACCCCACAGCACCCAGGAGAGTCATCGCAGTCACCGGGTAGAAGAAAGTGGAATGGAAACTCCGAAAAAAAAAAATGGGAGAAAATGAGCGAAGGTGAAGGACCCACAGGAAGATACGGACAGAGTATGTTTATATACATAAATTGTCTTTGGGGAGGAACCTAAAAGGGGCTTCACCGATAGAGCCAAGGGCGCCATGCCGCTGTCCATCAGCGCGCTGTCCAAGAAGAGCTCGTCGTCCACACCGATGGCCTGTTTCGCCATCTCCTGCACCGTGGCCTGGCGACGATGTGTTTTTTTTGACAGCCAAGCGCGACTCGGCAAGAATCGAGAAACAGCTGCTCTCCGAAAATTCCAGTCAAAAGCAGAGTAGGCTCAAAACCGGAGAGGTTTGCCTCCCTCTCCTCTCTCCTCCTCTCTCCTCTCTCCTCTTTTCCTCTCCCTGTCCTTGCCTCCCTCCCCTCTCTCCCTGTCCCTGTCCCTGTCCGTGCCGCTCTGCCTCCCGTTCCCTAAGTACGTACACCATAAGATAGCCAAATATAGAGTTGCCGCAAGAAGAGGTAACAGCAACAGAATGGTACTCATAGTCACGCGTTCATACTCATAAATTGGTGTATGCAGCGTAAAGCTGATGTATGTAAGTGCATGCGTGCGCATTCAAACAAAGACAAGACAACACAAACATGACCCAGGGTGGCTGGTAAGACCCTCTTGCATCTTGCTCGCGCCAAGACGGGGGCCCGAGGAATACTGGGAACCACCCACTGGTGCAGGAGTTTGTCCATCCATGATGACTAGCTGCTCAACAGGCTTGCACTCACATGCGCCCGCTGAGGTGACCCACGCGGACTTCGTCCATCTGAATTCAACCATGTCATACACTGCACATCTCCAACTAGAACTCAACATGTGAAGCAATATAAAAGATATTCCCTCCTATCAACTAACCTGGAACCTGACGTTCGGGGACCCTCTTAAAAGGACAAGGGCCTTCCGGGACCCCCCTGGTCAGGTTCCATGTAAAATGGTGGGAGGGTAATTCACCCACCGAAAAGAAGGGAACAAACATCACCCACCATCAACTAACACCCCCATCAAGTAACGCACCCACCGGAAAAAATGGACATGGACCCCTAAGAAAGGAGTCGCAAAATTTGGCCCGTCCCGCCTGCACCATTGCAGCCTCGAGGCCCACCTGAACGGCCGAAACTCAGGGCCGCTAGAGCTGTGGGGTGGTTGGCGCAATATGGCAATGGGTCAAAACCCCGGTACCCCGGCGAACACCCAGTTTGACCCACAATATGAACCTATGGCCATTTGGGACCCTTTGAGGCCTGATTTCTTAGAGTCAAGCCTGAACTAGCGGTTCATTAACCCATAAACTAGGGCTTCATACCAGGGGTTCGGCCCTTGAATGGGATGGGAGCTTTAAGGGAAATGGAAAACACCCCCGAAGATCCCTTCAAGATTGAACAGGAATTGTCATCAGCCTTCCTCCACCTCCAAACTACAAGGTTTTGTTTGTGTCCTCCTCCACAATTGCCCCCATGCCTGAACCCAGGAACAGGGCCCCGACTTTTGGCACAAGTAGCTTCAAGTCACCAAACCTTTTGGTTTGGCCATGCCCCTTTACCAACAAAAACAAACTTTCACCATAAGTAGCGCATGCCGGGGTCCCACCTTGATCAGAAGAGCGCGCTAAACTGATGGGTCCTGGCACCTTCACTCAGCACGCGTAAGACATGGGGCAAAGAGCCTCCGGAATCCTCCGCTGATCCAAACCTCTCCGAGAAAAACTCAGTCAGGTGCCCAAAGGACTCCTTTGGGACCACTACAAAAGGAGTCTGAGAACCCCAGAACGGGAAAACCAAAAGGTGAACAGCTGGAGATTCGCTTTGGTCAAGTGAGATTCAAAAGGAAACCCAGAAGTCCATTTCCCAAGAGGAGTTTCCTCTATGGAGGCGTTTCTTGGTTCCTTCCGTTAATCCTTGCTGGCGGGATAGGTAAGGAATGACCTTCCGGCGGTTGGGAATAAACCGGAAGGGGATTCCCTGAAAGGAACCCACAACAGGATGGTTTCTGGGCGTCCTTCCATTTCTCATTCCCTGCGTATCGTAGGGGAGTACCCTCCCATGCACAAACATGGAACCTCACAGGTGGGTTCCATGGAAACGAGCACGGGAAGATACAAAAATACTGATTCTACTCGGGTGGTCAACCAACATAGTAAGTGGATTACAACCATGGTAATGGGACCAACCCCGGTTACTCCAGTTCTCTCTCTCTCTCTCTGCCGCACCATCGGTAGTTACTCCACATATAACCATGGTAATACCCTACTTACCTGGTGTTGGTTGAACATCTTAGGGCGCTCACTCACTTTACTATAGTAAGTGGGTTACAACCCCAGATAATTACTCCAGTTACAACCTTGTAACCTACTTACCTGCTGTTGGTTGCACACCCGCAGGGCGCTCCTCCCCTCCTTCCGCTGACTCACTCCCTCACGCTCTCGCCTGCTTAGGCGCCGCCACTGCGGACGCCGCGGCGTCCGCGGGGCCGCCGCCTGCGGCCTGCGCGGCGCGGCGCGATGGCGGCCGAGTGCCCGCGGAACGGTGGGAGCAGGGGCCGCCTGCCAAAGGGTACCTCGTGTTGTTGTTTGTTTTCGCTGTTGTTTTTTCCGTGTTTGTTTTTTTTTTTTGGGGGGGGGGCGGGGGGGGGGGAGGAAATCAGTACCCGCTGGTCCACCAACAAGCCATGGAACCTGACTGAGGGGTCGTGCTGGAAGATGATTCTCCTTTTAAAGGGAGCCCCTGGTGCATTGCATGTTGGTGGACAGGACAGTACCCTGTTTTGTTCATTTTTGTGGAGGCCACAAAGCCACCCCAGCTGGTTTTGTCAGTCCCTATTGTGAGACAAACCCAAACGGTGGTCAAACTCATGGAAGTTCAAACCGGGGTTCAAACATCCAAATCAAGCCAGAACATGAGCGGGTCTCACCTGCAAAAAGCTCTCACTCTTCCCGATGTCTAGGGGGCAAAAGTTTTCTGGTCATCCGGATTGCTGAACCTGGATGGCTCTTCTTAGGAGCCACTTCAACACGCAGCTCGCACGGACAATTGGGCTGGCCGGCCAATTTACCCGTTGCGCAACCCAAGGGAATCCAAGATTGAGCCCAGACGCTGGTGAACTGAACCTGAGTCTGCCTAGGGCCTGCCCGTGCGTGCGCAAGGCAGGGGGCGGCTGGTAAATGGGTCGCCTTTTTGGGGGCACCCGTTTTCCACCTTCATCTTCGACCTCCACGCATCCGTGACATGGTGACACTTCAATCGCTATGCACCTTCGAGCTACTTGTGCATCCGGTACAGGGCATGTGTCACAACAAAAAAGGCATGTTTAGATTCTGGTCTACACTTGGTTGACGTTGGAAGGGGAGCAAACAATTTAGCAGTTAAGTGGGGATTTCCAACTAAACCACAATAAGCAAAAATGCAAAATGTTTCCCAACAACAACCATGTATAGGCATTTGATTTGGTCCAAGTCTGGAAAGGGAAGGCCACAACAGCCGACTTCGAGACTTGAACCGGCGAATCTGTCGCCGTTCCTGCGCCGGCATCGGCATTTCCCCACCCTCGCCCGGATACGGCTGGTAGTAGGCGAATCTCCTTTGCGACGGCTCGGCAAGCAAAACAAGGGGCCTCTGTTACGTCTGTTGGGTGCTCAACCAACATAGGTGGGTTACAACCATGGTAAGGGAACCAACCAGAGTTACTCCAGCTACCATGAAGCAACATACTTACCTGACGTTGGCTAAACATCCAAGTTGCAACTTGCAAAATTGGGCCCGAACTGGTCATAGTGTAGATGGTCAAAATATTGCGCCACTTCATTCATCCCAGCTGGTACAGGATTGTGCCCACCCGCAGTATGCAAAGGAATAGACAAAGGCTAGAGTTGTGATTCAGCTGCGAACCAAATTGCAAAGGGATCAAATGGACAAGATCTTGGAGGTGGAGCTTCCAAACATGGAAGCCAGCCCCCCAAACTGTGGTCTTCCTTTGGGTTTGCCGTCGCGACGACCCCCCAAAAAGATACCCTAAAAAAACAAGACAGAAAACAAAACAAACGAGTCACATACTTTTTTGGGGGCTCCCGGCCCATACGCAGCCTCTCTCTCTCTCTCAAGCGACGATTCGGAAGCGAAGCGGAAGCCCATCCATCAACTTGTATCTTTTTTGTCGGTGGTACCCCCCTTCTTTGGGCGTTGGTTTGAAGAGGAAACCAAAAGGGAAACCAACCACTTTTGGAGGGTTCCCTATTTTAAGACACATCCATCCGCCATCCACAAGGCGAGTCGCTTTCCCGCGATCTGCTCGATGAGCTTGTTCGCGTCCCTCTCCTTCTTGGGGTCTCCACAGGCCTTCGCCAGCATCAGCCTCATGTTTTTTTTCCCCCCGGGCCGATCCAGCGCCATCTGGCCCGCGACCATGGCTCTCAGATTGCCCAGGAAAGAAGCAAATGAGATTTGAGCAATCCGAAGCGGGGAAATATATTGCTCTGTTTCAGAACAGGGGTACCCTCAGTGTCCCCTTAGTTTCCCTTTAAAACTGCGAAAAGGCGAACCCTCAAGCAGCACAAGCACAAACACGCACAAACACGCACAAACACGTACAAACACAAACACACACACACACACACACACACACACACACACACACACACACACACACACACACACACACCACCCACCCACCCACCCACCCACCACGCACACGCACGCACGCACGCACGCACGCACGCACGCACGCACGCACGCACGCACGCACGCACGCACGCACGCACGCACGCACGCACGCACGCACGCACGCACGCACGCACGCACGCACCCACCCACACACACACACACACACACACACACACACACACACACACACACACACACACACACACACAAACACGCGCACACACGCGCACGCGCACACACACACACACACGTATATAGATCATCCTGATCACAAACACCAGCTAGAGGAATGTTTACAGAAACTTGGCCAAATTTGTATCCTGTGGATGGACGAAATCCATTTTGCACCCAAGAAGCCCTGGTGTCTGGTAATTCCCCTGTAAATACGGACAAGCGTCATGGTGTCAACCATGGTTTCATTTCGTGGTGCGTTCTTGGATCTCGCAACCATCCGCAGTAGGGATCTCAAAAACACCATGTCAAAACAAGCAACTTGGCCAAAACCAGCCAAGTTTCGAGGGTTTCAACTGCAGAATGTCCATAGGGACCCCAACAAAGTCGAATCCGCAAGTTCGATCGACCGATCCCTCGAGCTCTCCAAGGTACCCTTCGTTCGCGGCATCCAGCGCCTGTCAGCAAAACGGAGCGGGATCTGGACCGAAAAATGATCTTCCGCTGTCCTCTCGGTGTGCGTTCAAACAACCTAAAAAGGGTACCCTCAAAAGACAAAAACAAACAAACAAACAAAAAAAACCACACACACACACACAACCAGCAAAATTGAACTTGTGATGGGGAAATCCAGTGGCCCCATGAGTGTGAATCTTGATAAGGAACCCTTTGATGGACATCATTTTACTTGGGATCTGTGTCCAGCAAACACTCCGGAGGTTCCATTCGAATTCATAGCCACACGGCTGTCTCAACCAAAGGAACCCTTAAGAACTGGCACCTTCCACAGAAGAGGAAATGGCTCCTCTCCCACTGATCTGAGCTCTGCGGACCTTGTGCAGTGGGGGCCTCAACCATTTGCCCAAAACACATGGCCCTCCCTTGTCCAGGTGGCATCCCCAACCGAACCGAATCTCCGGAAGATTCCCTGGCTGCTCCAAACCCCAGAGTTTGTTTGGGCAAGAGACCCCAAAGCTTTCGGCTGGGGGAAAATGGGCGCTCCATTTATCCAAGTCAAACAACCATGGACCCCGTCCGACCCGCCTTCTCGTCCTCGCTCTTGCTGTGGTAGATCTCCGCGATCAGGATGACCGAGCCGGCCTCAGGTTGGACTAATGCCAGGCACGGCTCGGTACCAAAGAGGGTGCCTTTTCTCATCAGGACATGAAGGAGGGCTTTGGGAAATGAACCGGAAGATTCGCTTGACAGAAACCACTTGGGTGGTTCATGACTCACGCACTCATTCCCCGAGAAACAGCTCAAATTGTTCAACCAAACCGAGCTAAAGGACGGCTCTCCCTTTGTGAGAGCCTGAGAGCGCCAGGTGTTGCTCGGGAAAAACGGACGACAGGCTGGACTGGTAACGGCACAGAACTAAGCTAGACTGTTAGAACCAGCCTAGGCCAGTGGAATCTCTCCATATTTAAGCAAGCTGACCTCAAATTGGCAACCGATTCCCGCGTTGCGCCGGCCTCCCGCGCACGCTCGTCCACCTGCCGGAAGATGTCCTCAGTTGGCCACACGGTTTGGTTTGGACACCGCGGCCAGATTTTGTTGGCACTTTTTGCCCGCGGGCCTGCCACTAAAGAAAGGGCCGCAATTGGGTTGGCTCTTGAGGCTGCCCTTTTTTAAGCTGCATGGTTCACTATAAACGGATGCCAAAAGGCGTTGGCAAGTGTTGGCCAGAGGGGCTAATTTCTCTTGGAACACCCCACCTGGCTCGAATGTGGCACGAGAAAGGCGGGCTCCAGTCCCTCCGAGAAAGCTCCTTCCATGGTTTAGACTGGACTCCTGACTGGACATGAGTAGACATGCCGAAGCTCTACGAAAACAAAGGTTTCCACCCAAACAAGCCAATACAAAACAAACAAACAAAAAACAAGCAAGCACACAATGCAAGCCAAGCCAAGCAAGCCAAGCCAGCCAAGCCAGCAAAGCAACCGCCCCCTAGCCCAGCTCTCCCGACCTATCGCGCCCTGCTTGACTCCAAGTCGCCACGGCCTCGCGCGCCGACTTCAGGGCGTCATCTGGCTTCACCTCAGACCGCCGGCATTGGCATCCCCAGTCTGAGGGTTACAACCAGCCTCCAGGCTACCAGAAAGTTCTGCGCGAATTCCTTGTTTTTGCTGGGCATTTGGCATTTGGCAATCAGTCTTAAGTTACAACCAGTCACCCCCCTCAACCAGCACCACGTTTAGAGAGCCAAACCAGTCATCCCGAGTCATCCCCCCAAAAAAGGGCTCTCAAGGGCCACTGAAAGTTTGGGCCAAGCCCCAGCGCAGAAATGGTTCAGAACTTAGTCTCTTACCTCTCCCCGAGCCCAGAGGGATGCTGAGGTCAAGGGAGAGAAGCACCCCTCACAACCAGCATGGCACCTGACACGGGGTCCCTACAAGAATTGAAAATGATCTTCTAGGTGCCTGCCATGTTCGCAGAAGGGGTAGATGATACAACTCCCGGTGCAAGGGCCCGAAATGAGGGAGTGCCATCTGCCACCGATCTGTACTCCCTTCCCGCGGCGTCCTTCCATACTGAGAACTCGTGTTTCTTAGGCGCAGCGTGCGACCCGTCTCTCTGCGTTTGCAGGCGCCGAAAAGGAGCCCCGCCTTTTTAAAAGGAACCTCAAATGTTCACATGCATATTGTCAAACAACACTCAGAATGACAATTGTATTGCATACGTAGCGTGTACATACATACATAGTTGGGTTACTTCATGCCGTTTGTAGAAGAACATATCTATGTGGGTTGCTGTTGAAATAGGCAGGCTCACATATGGAAGCTGGCGAAGCTGCGCGCGAGAGCCCGATCCGGCGCCCGGGGCCCCGGCCGTGACCAGGAGCACGTAGGCTGTCTGGTGCATAGCCATGCCCATGAGCTTGCCAGCGCCGATGGATTTCGCCACCTGTGGTCACAGGTGGCGAAATCCAAGAAATTGAGGCGCCCTGGGTGAAAACAAATGTTTATTCAGCCTCCCTCTTGGTGGATTGATGGTGGTTGAGGAGGGGGCCCCATTAGCCCCCACAAAAGCCAGGACTTCAAATCCTCAAACCATTAATGCAAAGGAAGCTGACTGTTCTTTCCTACCCTAAGAAATGTCGGCCAGAAGAGTGACCCGGATGCCATCTAAAAGGCGCCACCCCCGATTAAACAAAAGAGGTCCTTAACATCTTCAACACTTCATTTATGTTCTTGTTTTTGTCATCTTATAATATGGGGGCAGGCCACCCAGAACCCAACATGGGGGGCTGGGTTCCATTTCCCCTTTGCCACTCCCGACTTCTGCGGGTAACCACTTTGGGCTTCCGTTCGCCCAGCAAAGGGATCCGATCCTTCCCCCCAAAAAAACGACGATGCCGGCGCCATGGGACCCGATTCGACCAAAGCCCAAAGAGAGCCACCCAAGGCAAATGGGCTTGCCTTGTTTTAGGTCTCCCAAGTTGGCTCCTTTGTTTCGGGTGGTGTTTCTTTCAAACCACCCCCCAAAGGGTAGCCTCAAAAAAAGAGGACACCCGTATCAGTCCAAGGGGAATCCCACAAAGGAAGCCTTGGAAAGCCATCCGCTTGTGCCACAAATACTCAAAACGCAAAACCCAGGTTCTAAAAAGACACACTTCAAATGGTCGATTCCCCATTCTCTTCACCCGTCATCTTTAGAAACGCCACCTCTTTTCCCCCAGAAAACTTCAAGGATCCCACGCTAAGACGCCCCACCCCTGGAGAGAAAAAACAGGTGGAACCGCCGCCCAACTCCGGCCGAAAAACGGACCCTTCCCCCCCCCCAAAACCCCGAGCTCGCCCCGAGCGCTCGGCCCGCGCCTTGAAGGCCTCCCTCGCGGGCTTCAGGGACCGCTCCGAGCCCTTGGCCAGGCCCTTGGGGTTGTCCTACGCGAGTGGCGCGGCATCGCAGTGGCCCGACTTGGGCCCTGCAAAAACTGAGAGCCCGTTGGTTGAAAGGGAAACGCCAAGGACGCCCACAAAACAAGGCAAAAGGAGGCACCCAAAAACGGCACCCAACTCCCAACGACCGGAAAGTTCTTGGACACCAAGAGGATTTTGGACCTTGAACGTTGGGGTACTGGAAGCTAAGCCTTGCACCTCCAAACCTCGGCTCCGGCCGAAGAAAACATCGCGTCCTGCATGGCCAAGGCGATGTTCGCCTCGGAGGAAAGGATGAGGTTCTCCGCCAGCTGGCGCCGGTCCTCAGGTGATCTTTCCAACCGGTGCTATGGCAGCAAAGGCTTTTCTTTTTTCTTTTCCTTTTTTTGTGCAGCCCCCTGCCAAGAATCAACAGGCCCCCCCCCTCCAAAAAAAGACCACACACCCACATGAAACAACAAAAAAGGGTTTCCCCCTAGTTGGTGGTTTTGGTTTGGTCGTTACACACACATAAAAATTCATGGAAGCCCCAGATCTTGGGTGCCCCCCCCCCCATGTGGGAGTTCAGACCTCTTTTGAACCCTCTGTAGGAGACGGGTTTAATCCAAACCATGGGAAGCTGAGCAAACAAGTTGACATAGCGAAGCTTCCCCGTGTAAAACGGCCGCAGGACAACTGGCAACTGCCTCAATTACAAGCAGCGAAAAGGTCGCTTGCGAGCCGACACGAAGGTCGATTTAGCTAAAACCATTAGACAAAACCTCCGATTGCTTAAGTCCCCTGGAACAAATATAATCTAGTAGTGATAGAGTCCCTTTCAAACCAACAGGGGAAAATAAAACATATTCTTAACCAAATGGAAGAACATAAAACTTTATGGCGACTTTGGGTGTTGGCAGCGCCAAACCAACTTGGACATACAAGTGCCCACATGTGTTACAAGAATTGGCGCCCTTTGCATGTGCCTTTGGCTTGCAACATTCAGGACATGCACAGTATCACCCGTGCTGCAGCATGTATTGCTTAGTCACCCCAGTGCCTTTCTCGCCTGAAATCCACTGGCCGCAAGCTCCTGGATTTTGGGCTATGTCTCAAAAAACGAGAAACCCCTTTTGGACGGCCTTCAAAAACAGCCAAGAGGAAACTAACCACTGGTTTGTGCCTCATTTTGAAATCACCCCCGGGGCTAGCACAACCCAACGGTCACCCACAGTCAGGTCAGGAAAAGGCAGCCCCGGCCCAGCTGTGTACAGCCCACCCCCCTCTGCAAATAAACATATCTGGCAAACCAGGCATTTGCAGGTGGGGACCGCATTCTATCTGGGAAACCCCGGAAATCCGCGTTTGGGTGGGGTAGAGCTGGTGGCCAATTCGCTAGCAAGAGTCACAATTTCGAGCAAGCCGCCAAACCACCAAGCCTTCATTTTGGAGACAACTGCTCCCAAGAATGAGCTTCTTTCAAATCTCTGGTTTGGATTGGTGGCTTGGATAGGGGTGTTTGCCCACTTGCCCTGAAGAACCAGGGGCTCAAACCCCTAAATCAGCGAAACCAAAGCACCCATGATAAACATCGTTCTTTAAACATATCGCGCACACACACATGTATATATATATATACACAGATATATACACAGCTATATATGTATGTATGCCGAATTTGTGTGTATAAGAGCTAGGTGGAGGCATGTGTCCAAAAACCCAACTCAGATTCTCCAAGTTTCACCCAACTCGAGGGTCCCGTTTTGCGCCAGGTCTCATGAACGCGCTTGCTCAGCTGCACGGCTTCATTGGCCGCCCGCACGGACTCCCCGGGCATGTCGGAGGCCAAGTAGATGTTGGAGAGCGTGCGGATGGCGCCAACCTCGGGCGATGGATCTCTCCAAAACTATACCGTTGTGATATGAATAAACCGATGGAATAATACTCTTGAATATCTCTCTCTCTCTCTCTCCAGCATCCTCGAGCAGGTCTCGCTCGTCCCAGGTCATTCAATTATTATTGAATATACTGTATGATTCATATCCGATAAAATTTGAAGAAGTGAACCCAGTTTCAATGTCCATGGGTTCGCTGAGGGATCTCATAGTCACCAAAAAGTCGGCCGGTCTCACTGCTTTGAACAAAGAATTTTACGGACAGTTCGCGGGAGTGTCATGAAGGTGTACACCCAACTTTGGAAAAAACCATGTCCAACGTCATGTCCAAAGGCGGTGCTTGGGACCTAACCCCATTTCAAAGAAATTTGCCACCCAAGCGGGGTTGGTGCGTGCGGCAGTGCAGGAAAGGGTTGCCCCTTAGGGACCCAGAAAAAAAGCCCCAAATGGGGAAACAAAAGGTCAGGTCAAAAGCTCGGGGTTCAACTGGTTCAACGGGGAACTCATCAACAAGTGCCAGTCCTGTGAGCATCGCTTCCCCTCATTAACACACATGATGATGTGTTGATAAGAATCGAGTTGGGCAAGTGCTGTTCTGGCGCTGTTCTGGATCTCTCCACACTCCTCTTTCATAATATGTTTTAAAAGAACAAGCCAAAGGCTCTCTAATTGGGACGCCCCTTGATATGAAGCTCGATGATGCCACCTTTGGGTCAACTTCGTGAGGGTCTCGCGTCTGGCCCCCAGTTTGAAGCAAACCAACATGAGAACTGTGGATACCTGAATGCTTGACCGCAAGTGATGCAGAAATGCAAGAGCAAGCCTCGCTGAAAGGCCTTCCCCCTTGAAAAACACCCGCATCCTGCCGCCAGTGGCCTTTTTAGTGGCCAGTGCTGTGCTGCGCAAGGCTGCCAACTGCTTGTTCTATGAAATCGGGGGTGGAAAGTCTACGAATGTCCTATCCACTTGTGTGGATTTCTGCAGGGGGCCATGAACAATCATGGGTTATTTAGCACTCAGTTCAACATCATATGACAGACTGGGTATTTCAATCACCGACTTCCGCTGGGGGGATGCATGTGGCGTATTTGGGAGGAACCCTCCATGAGCAATTGTCACACACACACACACACACCAAACCCCCTGAGCCCCCCAAACCCCACACACACACACACATCAACCCCCCGAACCCATCTGGCTTACCACAACTCGCAAAGGAGCCAAAACCCAGCTCGTAACTTTGATCCCAAAGAGGTCCCCCGACCACGATCATCCGCTTTGAGGTCACAGTTACGAAATACCACCCATGTGCTTTTCATGCTCCTTCAATTTGATTTGGATTTGGGTTTGTCAACACTAACTAGGTCCTCCAGTAGAGAGGTTAGATTAAGGGTACCCGATGTTTTTCTGCCGTCGATTTTTTTGTCGGGGCTGGCCCTCCCCAAAAAAGGGCCACGGGTGAGAAAGTTGGCACTGGGGGACCTAGCCAAGGACTCCGTTGGCCCCCGGCTGAGGCCCAAGTTTCAACCGGGCCAGACCTGAGCCCGCAAAAAGTTGGCTTCTGCGGGTTGAAAGGGTGCAAAAGGATAAAAAGGTGCCCTTTCTCCCACTAACATGGCAACTGAGAGGGACCCGGTCCCTTCAGAAGGAAATTCATCTTCCAGGTACCTCTTCACAGGTGCCATGTTACTCACTTGCTGAGTGGATGGCCCAAAAAAGTTCAAACTTTATATTTACCACTAAAATGGTCTTCCCAAAAAGTTTAAAGTTCATGAACTCAGGAAGTGAGGTTAGTTGGCGGAAGGGTAAGTTAAGTTTGGTGGCTCGCAATGTCCCCACCCCTCTCCGATGTTTCGTGTTCCGAGCGGACCGGCCTCGGCCTTCATGTCGCCTGCGAAGCGGTGGAGAGTAGCGCTGCCGAGAGGGCAGTTTGGGGGAACCAAAGGCCTGCTGACAGGCAAACACGCTTTTTAGGCGGAAGGGTTCTGAGGATCTTCTCGCTTCCTGAGTTGATTGGCCAAAAAAAGTCCAAACTTTTTGTTTACCACCAAAATGGTCTTCCCAAAAAGTATAAAGTCCATGAACTCAGGGAGTGAGTCTTCTTATAGGAGTCCTTCGACCTTTCTTTCTAGTGGAAGAATTCCACTCCTGGTGTAAGAAATGATTGCACATTAGACTATGGCCCATTTTTGGCCCTCCACCGGTTCGAGACGCAGCCTTCGCCGCCCAGATAACTTTTTCTGGAGCCCGCCCGCAGAATCACATCACCTACGGAAGGTCACGCCGTTTGGCGGAACTCTCCGTCAGTCGGAACCTCATGGAACGACACTGTCGACATTCGAGACACGACAGGGAAGCTGGCAGGTCGAATCGCCAAGCGCATAAGTTGCAATCTTCCAACGGTCCGGGCGTCAGCAAGGGGTGGCGCCAGCTTGAGGCAGAATCTCTTCGGGCCGCGCCCCGCAGAGCCCCAAGTCTTGCACAAACTCCTCGTGTCGAGAGGCGCAGGAGACTTGCTTGGAGGAGAGCCCGCTATAGGCAAAGCTCTGGATGTTCTCCACCTCGCACGAGACGGATCAATCGATCCCCCAGCAAGGAGTGACAACTTATTGCGTTATTGGTGGTTCACAATGCAGAAAGCCCAGGGAGGCAAAGGGGTCTGGCCATGAAGAGGCAAAACCCATGCAATCAATTTCTACCCTGCGATTCAAGCAAAAGCTTCTCCCCCCCAATCCAAGCCCGCTCCTTGTCATCAAAGGTGTACACCTTGGACCGTTCCAGTTGAAAGCCGAACCTCAGTTGTTCAGTCACCCTGGAAAAAAGGGACGCCTTTGTTGGGAAGACAATTTTTAGTGGGGCAGCCACCAAAATAAAAGGGAAAAAGGGTGCCACTGAACAACTG